TATTAATTGATGCAAAGTGAAGTAAGCCGAACCATGAGAGAATACATGAATACAACAAAGTAAATAGAAAGAACAATAACATGAAACTAAATGACACATAATTATGACGATCAGTTCGGATCTTGTAGAAAAGTCGGAAAAAACACACCTTCCTTTCTTCTTTGTGAAGGTGAGGGACAATGTGTGTGGACTACTGCATATACTGTCAACCATGGTTTTTTCCCCTCTTTCTTTTGGACATCTTTGTTTCAAAGCATGGCTTGCTGGATAGGAGGGCAGGGAAGGATATATTTGGAAATTAATGTAAAATTACAACAAAAAAAGCATTGATTAAAAATAAAGAAATATAGACTAAAGAATGTGATGAATAAATACTTATGGGCAGTCTCTGAAAGAACTATTTTTAAAGGAGTATTAATTAAAGGAGCACGTAGCCCGGGAAGTCTGAATCTAAAAAGAATGTTTCTCTGAAGAAACAAAGAATCCTGAAGTGGAGCTGTGGGCAACTTTGGGATGGAGTGAGGTTATGGATGCAGAGCTTTATGGATCAGATACAGAGAGGTGGCTTTGGGATGGAGTCATGAAGGTAGGACGTCAATGATTGAAGTGATGGATGGCAGAGGGGTTTTTGGCTAGAACTATAGCTATGCAGATAGAGGTGGAGCTAAAGCAACTGAAGGTGGGTAGAGCTGGCTCTCATGAACTGTGGCAAAAGCAGACCTCTCAGTGACAGCGGAAGAGGCAAGGAGCTGCCTGGAGTTGTTCTAGGAGAAGCTCAGGAAAACCCTCTTTCCTCAGGGACAGAACTACTCCCAAGGTACAGAATAAGCAGCAACTCGAGGTAGCTTTCCCTCCACTGTCTTTGGAGTATGAGTTTCCTTTCCCTTTCCCCCTGGTGACTTGTCACCTTTTCTCCACTGGCGCAGAAGACTGAGGGCAGAAGGGTTATTGTTTTATAAGGAGTTAAGCATGAGTTTATCACATGGATGTTTCTGTTAGTTGTGTTTTGTTAGTATGATTCAGTCAAATGATTCATTATTCGATTCACAGTGATTTGTCCAGTCAGTGAATTCAGTCTGCTGTGGATGGGGTCTAGGCTGAGAATACATTTCCTTTCCCTCAAAATGAAATGGAGCATATTATGGGGGTATGAAACCCCGGTTACCAACTCAAGAGCAAAAGCCCCAGCCTCAACACTGTGGGATCAAGGGCAACACTCCTAATGTTCTACCCAGATTTATTGCCTGTCTCACGCTACACTTAGCACCTTGGATTTCACACTGTCACATTTATCACATACTTTGGCTACCCCAGAGAGACTGGCCTGATCCATGATGTATTAGCACCATTCCTATGATCCCAAACTACTCTAGTAAAATTCTTGGTACTTTCCATCCATTTATCTGTTCCCTACACCATGTGCTGTGGAATGTTCCAGAGGGATCATCTCCCGAATACTCTGAAAGGTAACATCTGTAATCTCTTCAACTACTATGCCCTTTTCTCTCTACTATACCGACAGTCATCTGGTCTTGTGTTACAAGCAGTCCAATTCCTGGGTCTGGATTCATGCCAATGTATCTCTACCAACTATCTGTGCCCAAACCTCTGGCCCCAAACTTCACTGTAGCAGCAGAAACCTCAATTCAAGGTCACATTAGGGAAAGCTACCAAGACCTGTATGAAGTCTGGAGCAAAAATCTTCCCTTCATGGGGTGAAGTATGAGAGGTGGAGAGAAGAGAGAAGAGAGATTCAATACCTTCTCTCTCTTTAGGCTCTTCAGTCTCTGGGTTCCTCTGGCTTCCAGCTCTGAGAGAAAAGGCATAATGTGACGTTCTCTCTTCAGTCCATAAAGGGAGAAAAGAATTCTGGGAATAAGCCAATATGAGAGGAGCTGGCAATCTCCATAATGTCCCAGAGATCTTGGGGAATTTTTCCCCTGGTTGAGATTTGACTTTTTTTGTTGTTGTTGTTGTTTTTTTTTTTTTTGCTAGGCAATGGGGTTAAGTGACTTGCCCAGGGTCACACAGCTAGTGTCAAGTGTCTAAGGCCACATTTGAACTCAGGTCCCCCTGACAGCAGGGCCAGTGCTCTATCCACCAGACTCTCTGTCTTGATTGAGCTGAGATACCACCTTCCCAATGGGAGAGCTCCTTTACTCTATTGTTTTCTACATATTTTCCTATGTATACTTGCTCTGATTTGTTTTGCTATTGACTTGGATAAATGATCTTTTCCCTATTTGCTGTATTTGTTTAGTATAGAACTGGTATTTGGTGGGGAGTCAAGACTTAGATATAAAATTTCGGGTCCTCCTTTCTCCATTAATGGTGACCAGAAGTTTAGCTTGAATCTGAAAACTACATCCATTAGGCTAATAATATTTAAGGGAACAGATAAACATAATTCTAGCCTGGTATCCCTCCCTCTGAGGAGAGCAGTGTTAGGACCTCTGGTCCTAATTCCCCGCTTCTTTTACTGGTAGGAATTAAAATCTCCCTTGGTGAAGGTGGTGGTGGTGGGAGCGACAGGAGAGAAGAGTCTAGAGATGTTTATTATTGTCTCCCTGTGATTCATACATAACTCCATATGCAACATATAAGGGGCAGCCTTTGCCACAGGAGTACTGAGACTGTCATCAAGGTTTTCAGTTGGTCAGAACTGGTAGAGATAAACTCTTAGAGTATGTGGCTTTAGAAATGGGATGGTATCATGCCTTTGTTAGTGCTAATAGGCTTCCTTCCTATGGGGCAAAAGGGCTCATTTCCCCTCTTTCAACTTTCCCCCTTGGGGGAAGGGAAGAGGAGCCTTATGTGCAAGACACTGTGCTAATTAAACATGTTACATATATTTTATTTGATTCTGAAAATAATCTTGGGAGACAGATGCCATTATTACCTTCATTTTGTAGTAGAGGAAACTGAGGCAGACAGCAGAGGTTAAGTGACTTTCCTAGTGTCACACAGCTAATAATTGTCTAAGACCATGTTTGAACTAAGGTGTTCCTGATTCCAGGCCCGGGTGCTCCATGCACTCTGCTGCCTAAAGCAAAGAAGGCAGGGAACTGCTTTTGGGAGGGTTCCACTCAAGGAGGCAATGCATAAAATAGAGAAAGCAGTTTACACTGTTGGTGTTTTGAAGACTAGTCCTCCATGAATTGTAGAATGTTGAAGGAGGGAGTGAGAAGACAGTATATAGCAGGGCTGTGGTGGTCCACACCGAATATCTTTTCCCTGTTCTTTAGTGGGTATGTGTCTTTTGAATGTATTCTATAAGAAGTCTTCTTCGTCAGGTCTTACTGTTTAGCAGTCCAAGGTTTTGGTCTGAAAGAATACCAGCTCATTAGATGAAGGTAACTAATTATGTCACACAGACAGGGCTTTCCTCTCTCAATTGGTAAAATCATAGAAAATAAGGGGCAGATAAGAGATAAGCCAATGAGATGTAAACATGGCTACCCCTCAACCCCTACTGTAAAAAAAGTAATGTCTGATTAAATTAGGTGGGGAAAGCAACTTCAAACCAGGCCTACCTAGCTCCAGACTCCCTAGATGACTCCTCTATCTCAGCCCAATCTGCCTTATCATGGTGGTAATGCCTACACTCCCAAGGCCTCCTCCCTGGAACTTCCTTTGAGGAAATAGCTATTGGCGGCACGTTCACTTTAAACCAGGGTTAGTTCATGACTCCCTGGGCTCCCTCACTCTCATCTGCAGCTACCTTTGTCGTGTGGTTTTTCCCCATTAGAACATAAGCTACTCAAAGGCAGGGACTGTTTGTCTTTTTGCTTATATTTGTATTCTTCGTGCTTGGCAGTGCCTAGCACAGAGTAACCGTTTAATAATTGCTCAATTTATGACCTCTTTCTCTCTGTATCTTGGCACTGGCTGGTTGAAGACTAACCAGATTCATGGTAGCTTTTAAAAACTAGCCCTGCCAGTTTAAAAAACAGCCCTGCAGTTTCAGGGAGTGGAGACCTTAGAGGTAGGGGGCAGCCTGGTAGAGTGGGACCCCTGTGCCTCTACTAGAAGTCAGCAGGGTAGGTTAACCATTTGCCAGGAATACTGTGCAGAGGGCTCAGGAAATCCCTTTGAACCTTATAGAGCTCTAGGTCACTCTAGTGAGGCCTCCTGAGCTGTCCACTGCACTGCTCTCTGCTGTCCACTTCTATCCCCAGTGCACTGTCTTCTGCTGCCAGTGGACAGCATCTTCTTTCTGCCCTGCCCTGGGTGCTTCCACTATCTTGCATGGTCTCTCCCTATGCTGCACCATGCTTGTTCTTATCATTCACACAGTTCCACTGTAAGATCCCCAATTCTGAATTTCATACAAGCAAAGTAAAATTCAGTGTCTTTTGATTTAAACAGTCATTAAAATGTTTGGTCTGGGGATGCTGGAAATGAGCTATTTCAGGTTATGTAAAGATAATGTGAAAAAGTCAGAGTTGGTTAAGTTCTAAGTTCTTGGAAGAAAAATTGCTATCTTGCTAACATGAAATAGTAAATAATAAAGCTCAAGGATATGTTACCATTGGAATTAGTTTTATTTATCAACAAAGTTTAATATGACACAAAGAGCAAAGAGAATTTTTAAGATGGTGAATTATGATATGAAATTATACACTGTCTTCTGTATAAGACTTTAAAAAGCCTTAGGATTATCAAAGCACAGCTAAGGACTTTCATTTCAGAAACTTAATAGTTACATATGACATAGGAAGAAAGACAGCCTGCATACAATGTGAACCTATTATATGTAAGGATGTTGCTTTCCCAACTACTCAATGTAGTCTCTGTGGAATGTTTAGATCTGAGTTTGCAGGTCCTGCAAACTTCACACTAAGAGTGATGCTGCTGGACATTACTGCTCTATCAGAGAGCACGAGATAGGCTGCGGGGTACCTCTGCATACTTTAGGAAGCACTGGGGAGGAGGTACTCAACATGCTGCTTGAAGGTGAAGGAGAATTCAGGCGGGTCTAAAGCTGTACTGGGTCCTTCACCTAGGAGAAGGGAGTTGACCTAGAAATGGCTGATCCATGTAACCTCCTGCAGCTGCTCCCAGAAGGGGCTCCTCCATCAGCAGGACCACCATTCCATTTCATCCGGCTAGGAGAAGCACTAGCTTAAACAGTCACTACAGAAACTTTTGATTTTCCGCAAACACTAATCTCTGAGTCCTACAAAGAGCAAAAGCATGGTTTTGGGGTCACACCCATAGAAACAAGACCACAAAGAGACAGCTAATAACAAATGACTGACTTCAGTACAGACTGTTGTTGTTCTTTCTTCGTTTTCAGAGACTGAAGCTCCCAGAAGAACCTCACGTCGTCAGCGAGGGCTGGGTTATGACGGCATTTCAGCTGTACACAGTCTTGTCTCCTCATCTTGTAACAAGGTCTCCTCGGGTCTGGTCAGAGTGATCACTGACCTTAAGATGGCCAGTGCAATTCTGACGAGTATGCGCAGGAGGAGGAACGCAAAAGGAACAATTATCTGCATGAGGTGGAAGATGGTTGTACTGAATTCCCTCAGGAAGCAGGTAGATGAGAAGGCCACAAGGCTGACACAGGGGTAGAGGGCAAGTTTGGCAAACATGAAGGCATGTTCCTTCCCTCCATACCTGGCAAATGGGTGCAGGGTCTCCTGCTCATTCAATAAAGCTGTGCTCCAGATAGCAAACTGGAAGATGCCAGCAAAAAACGTGATGACACAACTGACACGGATGCTTTCTATTTCACTGTGGGACTGCTGGGCAAACTCTGTGGTCTGCTGATAGGCAAGTGGGAGCCCACCAATGAAGGCCAAGGAAAAAGTGTTCAGCAGGCTCATGAACTGGGTTGTCTTTCTCACGTGAAGGAAGAGGGAGTGGTGGACAAACCACAGGAGACCAATTGTTACAAAGGAGCCAAAATAGGCCAAGAAATTTGGTCCATATTCTCTTAGTGCTTCAACAAGGTTGCCATGAAATTTTTCTTTAACTTCTTTGGCATCAGGAACATTGTCTTCACTGTTGACATTTAAAAATAAAATGGTCATTTTCTACAAGAGCTTCATAAAATTGGCTCCGTGGCAGCCTGAGAGATAAACAGAACCCAAAGCCTCCAAAACGGACTGCTAAGGATCCAGGACTGCTATGACACAGATGAGGTTAGCTTCCTTCCTCTCTTTTGTTCTGATCACTGACATCCCTGGCCTATAGTACCGTCGACATCCAAGCCTTTCCCCAGCCCTATTCCCACTAGGTGGTCTGGCTCTTTGCTGGCCACTAGTGACCTTCTTTCTACCCTCCATAGTCAGTGTCCTTGATACACCAAACGTGAAACTGGCTACCTGCCTCTTATTAGTGATCCCAAATGAGATTTTAAACCAAACATCTTTACGTGCTTGCCAGAGACCTGAAGCCCATCTGACTAACTGCAAGCCCTCTGCTTCAAAGCCTCCTTTCCTAAGCCAGAAAACTCTGTCACATTTCACTGCTTATCTTAGGAAAATGCCCACTCTGCCCAAAAGACTAGTGGGTGAAGATTCCCAAGCTGGGCAGAGGGCTGGACTAGGAGAGATCTGAAGCTGCTGCTGCCTCTGAGATACTGTGAGTCTGCTTTTACACAACAATCCTGGCCTTCCCAAGGGCGTATCAAGAAATTAAAGAAGAACAGATTCATTAGTGATGTTTGCTTAGCTGAGGTTTAATGACAGGCCATCAGTAATTACTGATCCATGCAGTCTGTCTGGGTTTCACAAGAATGTTCATGTTTTGCCAGTTTTGCTTTTTACATTTGGATACCAAGATCACCGATATTATCCCATGCTCAAGTTATAACTAAAGTGTAGGGTTAATTCCAAACCATGAGATCGGGGTAACCAAGGCCTCCATGTTATCTTTGCTGAGGACCCAGCTACCATGTGTAAAAATAAACACACCACTCTGTATTTACAGAAGTTTAAGACCTCTGTCAGGCAGGAACAAATCTTACCAAATGTCGAGGATGAGGAGGGTCGCTACAATGGCATACACACCGTCACTGAAGGCTTCTACTCGCTCCTTACTTAGGGGTTCATGGATGTTAAAAGTAAAAAACTCCAAGCTCTGAGGCTGCTCTTCTGGTTTGGTACCTGTCAGTGCACAGACCAGAGGGCTAAGTAATAGGCATCAGTCCAAGCTGAGCAGGGGGGGCTGTGAGCCCCCTCCCCAGTGTATTACCTCTCAGCAAAACAGGATCTTTCCCACCCCCCCCACCCCTGCCCCCGAGACTGTGCTTTGTAGTTTCTTGCCTCTCTGACTTCCAATGTCCAGATGTGGAATAAATCCTGGGGCTCAGGTTACTCTTAACTTATGAACAAAAATAACTAACTTTCATACAGTGTTTTAGGGTTGACAAGGTGCTTTTCTCACAATCCTGTGGGTATGCAGTAAAATATTATTGGCTCAGAGAGGTTAATTTATTAACTGATGGTTGTGCTGTTGGAGCTAGCATTTGAAACAAGACCTGTCTTTGTCCAGTGCTCTTTTTTGCTACACTATCTAATTAAAGCTTTGCCTTTTAAAAGAATTGATAGGTGCCCTCCATTGGTGGGGCATTATTCTCTGACTTGAGGAAAAGAAAAGTTGGATGTGTGGGAGCAGTTAAGTGAGCTGGATTTTGGCATAGGGCTATATATACAATTGTATGCTCACACTAAAAATTTAACTGTAGGCTCTTTTGAGACCAGTTTGAGCTAGCTCCAGGACACCCCTGGCTATCCTCAGCATATACTTGTTAAGTGACTGACAGTACCTTTTCGTAAAAGTGATGTCCAAGGGTGTCCTGCTCCTCCATGTGTGTCTGCCTAGGACACATCTCAATAACAGTGCAGTACTGGGCCTACAGAGAAAGTCTGAAGGCTCTCAGGTGAGGCCCTGCTGACTCCACATTTTCCACTTGGGACACTGAGCCATACTCGTTAGCCAGGTACAAAGTTCCCTCAGTGGCAATCTAATAACACCCAGTTCCATGCCAAATAGTCAGGAACAATCTCCATCATATCAGAATCCACAATAATCTTTCTGTGAATCTTGTGCCTCAGAATGGTTAGAACCTTCAGAAGAACTCAGTGCCCAACCCATCTGTTTTCAAACCACCACAGAGGGCAGATGGGATGAGTAACATTTCACAGAGATCTGACATGTACGGTATTTTGTATCATCAAATTATTAAAGAAATGTGAATTATTATAAAAAGAGGGGACAAGTGAGGCACAGAGAAGCTAGGTCACACTGGAAGTATTAGATGACCCAAGTTTCATGCCCATGAGCTCAGGTCTCAGCACTGGGTTCTTCTGGAGCCAGCACATTACAATGTGGGCGAAAAGACCTGGGTTTTTAATCCTTGCTCACAAAGTTGTTATAAGGATCAAATTAGATGACGGATGAGAAGCACTTGGAATGGCAAAGTATGACACAAATGTAAAAGTAGGGCAACTGAGGTTCAGGGAGAAGAGCAGTAAACATGTAGTAAGAAGACCTGGGTTCGAGTTCCAGCTCCACTACAGTCTGAATCCGTTTCCTGATCTGTAAAACGGAGATGATAATTCCTGTCTCCCTCCCTTCCAGTGCTGATCAGACAAATAGAATAACTTGTAGAAAGCACTTTTTAAACTGTACAGTGCTACATATCCATCAATTGTTATTATTAATATCATTATCATTATTTCCACAGGAGCACCCTGCCTCAGTCAGAAACAAGGGCTTGGCTGCAAAGAACACACAGAGGCAGGGATTACCTGAGGTCATTGCAACTGGTGTATGTTACACTGAAACATGGGTTACCTACCAACAAGTTTGTCTCTGCACCACGTGATGAATTTATTGATGTAGGGGAGGAAGATGACAAGGCCAAGAAGAAGGTAAGACTGGAGGAGTAAATAAAAAACATTAGCTTCATGTTTTCATTTCTGATAATGCTTTAACATAGCATTTATGCCTTAATTCAACCATGTTACACAATCCCCACTAGCCAAACACAGACAATATTTAAAGCACTCAATGAATCAACCAGTGTGAAGTATAAACACGTTTTGTTTAGGGACTGTTTGGGTAGGATCCAGCTGAGTACAGATTCTAGAGGAATCGTGCTGCTTGGATTTATTCCTCAGTTGCTCTGATGGGTAGAAAGTGGGCTGAGCTTGAGGGAATGCTCTGTGTTTTTCATCACATGGGATTTCCTAGAACTATGGAAGGTCAGAGCTGGAGAGGGCCTTAGAGACCAACAGATTCAAATCCTTTTTTTTTTTTTAAGTCGATGTAGAAACAGAGGCCTAGAGAGAAATTAGTCAGTGGCAGAGCTGGGACTGGAACCCAGGCTTCTCATTTTTTAACCTCAGTGTTCCTTTCCAGTGCATCATGCTGCTATCGTTATTTAAATTGTCTTTGGAGGAAAGTGCCCTTCTATGTTACAAACTATCTATCCATACGGATCTGGTGAAGACTTGTGGAGGCCTGAGGCCATGGTGTCATACTCCCTTTCTTACTGTTGGGTAAGGCATCATTGAGTGGTGGAAAGAACACTAGTGTCAGGAAACCTGCCTCTTGGTCTCAGTGAGAAAGAAAACAGATAAGCATTTGTACATTCTTAATCTACTGCAAACAAAAACCCCAGACCTTATTGAGGGTGGAAATATTCTAATGGAATATCTTTGAGAAGTTTTAAACCTATCACTGAAAAAATATTTTTGCTTGTCTCAAAATGAGAAGGAAGATCTTATTAAGTTCTAGTCCTCAATAAGTTCTAGGTCTGAATAACTAGCCTTGCCACTTACTTACTGAGGGCACTGGGTAAGTCACTTTCCCTTTCTAGGCCTCAGTTTTCTCCTCTGTCAAAAGAAGGTTGGTCTCTAAGGTTTCTCTCTTCGATTTCTGATAGACTATGTTTCTATTCAATAAATGTTTGCTAAATGTCTAGGTGCAAAACACAGCTGGTCAGGTGGGATGCAAGGGCACAAATTACATGGTTGCTGCCCTCAAAGAGCTTATATTCTACCAGGGAGAGAGATTATTAACAACTGCTGAAAGTGTTAGGGAGATAAAGAAATGCTTTGCATGGGAATTGGGCCTTGAATGGAACCTTGAAGGAAACTAGAGATTTAAGTAAGTAGAGATGAGGAAGTAGAATATTTCAAGCACAGCGAAAAGCCTGTTTTTTGCAAAGGCAAAGAAATGGGTGATAGAATATTCAGGGAACAGCTGAAAGACCAGTCTGGCTAGATTGATAAGTGCACTTGAAATGTGGAAAGGTAGAGAGAAGATAGAATGAACAAGACTTGGTAAATGACTGATTGAAGGGGGTAAGGGAAAAAGAAAAGGAAAAAAAAGACTCAGGTTGTGAACCTATGTAAAGAGAAAGATGGCAGAAATAGGCAGGAAATGGGGTGGGTGGAAAGGAAAGATACAGAGTCTGGTTTTGAATATCTTCAGTTTGAGATGCTTGTCTGGGTAGATATATCCAGCTGGGAGCTTGTTAAGGCAGAAAGAAGTTCAGAAGAGAGATTAGGGTTGGATATGTAGATTTTGAAATTTCATAGCTAGAGGGGACCTCAGAGGCCATCTAGTTTGAAGCATACTTGAAAAAGAACTCCCTCTACAACATAAGATTATTTAGCATTTGCTTGAAGACATCTCATGAAGGTTAACCCACTAAATCCTGGGGAAACTCATTCTACTTTTGGAAAGCTCTTGTTGTGAGGAAGTCTTCCTTTACAGTCACCATGCCTAATTTTGCCTCTTTGTTGCTTCTCCACTTGATCTTAATTTTGTCCTCTATAACTAAGCAGAATAATTCTATTCTCTTTTCCATATGATGATAACCCTTCACATACTTAAAGACAGCTGTCCCCCTAAGCCTGATCTCTGCATCTGATCCTCATATATCATGAACTAAAAGGACCTCACCATCTGCACTTTCTCTGGATGGAATATCTAAACTACATTGTTGCTCTTAAAATGCTGCTCGATATTGCATTAGTGTTCTTGGCTGTCCTCTGACACTCCTAAAAACCCTCCAGATCTTTCCAGATGAATTACCTGGTCACTCTTCATCATCTTATATTTAGGAAGCTGATTTTTAAAACTCAACCACAGGATGTTGTATTTATTATGAGAGAGAGGAAGAAAAATTCCAAATTCAGATTTTCTTTCTAGATGGGGAAAAGGCAAGTCATGTTAGATGTTTTGGGGAAAGCCCTCAAAGTCCTAGGTGGTCTGTCAGAGTGGACTCCAAAATAATACATGGTTTATGTTCTGAGGGTTCATCTTGGACCTTTGATATTTCGGAGCCTAGATTTTCTACACTAGCCATGACAGCATTCATGTGAGCAACTATATAGGTTAGAGCCCAGTAGGCATAAAACTGCACATATTCTATGTTTGAAAATGACATAATATGTAAATATGTTTTGCATGATTTCACAGGTATAACTGATATCACATTTCTTGCTTTCTCAATGGGTAGGTGAGAGGCAGGAAGGAGAAAGAGAATTCAGAATTCAAAATGTAAAAAAAAAAAGTGCCAAAGTAAATATATAATTTTTAAAAAGAGAAGCTAAAAAAATTAATAGCCTTTATCATTGCTCAGTTATTGGAGGGATGAATAGCAATAATATAACACGAATCTGTATGACTATTGTATTTAGTATAATCTGCATGTAACTCTGCTATCTCTAATACCATAGGTGATGTATAGAAGATGAACCTGTAGGCATGATGTATTCCCACAGACTGTTCACTGGTACCTGGTGTTACCTGTCAGCCTCCACAAAGTCCGATTCTCCTATCTCTCATTGTGGTGTATGGACATAGCCCTGGGTTCTCAAAGGCCACACAGGAGAGCGCATGCTCTAGAAGAGCTTCTACCAAGCTTTCTAAGGATCAGTTTAGCTAATTGTGGAGTGGCTCATCCTCAACAGACTGGCCTGTTGAAATGTTTGCCTTGGTAACCCGTAAAACAAAGAAAAATATCCTGTGTGGTCCCCTTTGGCTTCTGCAGGGATAGTAGTTGGAAGAGAAAGCATAGTGTGCTAAGAATCAGACCCTTTTTGACCTTCCATAAACTGACTTTACTGTTGGTTCTCTCTAATGTGAAGTTCAGTGACCTATGAGCAGACATACTACTAAAGGAAGTGAATTGTATTAATCTCGATGTTCTTGCAGTTGATGGAATCAGACCACAAAAAGAGGTTGCAGCTAAATAGGTAAAGGGCTCACAGTTTCTCTTTGGAAACACAAATAAAGGATTTGTCAGAATGGGTTTAATCACGTGCCCAGAGGTGGCAGGAAATATCACTGATGGAGATATTTCCATATGTGCATTGTATCTTGTGTTGCAGTGCTCATGAAAAGCATGTATAAAAATATCATGGATATAATTGTAGCTTATGAACCAACATCTGTTTTGGAAGATGAGGAGGTAGAGAAATTCTATGAAGAACTCAATACAATCTTTCAAATTAAATCAATGAACACTTTGATACTTGGTGACTTCAATGTAAAGGTACATAAATGGAAGGAGAGCAAAAAATGTTGGGAAAATAAGATTCAGGAGTTAAGAAAAAGGAGAGGCTAACGACTCATAGACAATACAGAAATCTCATGTCCATATATATCATGAATACTTTTGTCAAGAAGAATATGGAGGGACAGCTAGATGGTGCAGTGGATAGAGCACTGGCCCTGAAGTCAGGAAGACCTGAGTTCAAATTTGACCTCAGACCAAACACCTGACACTAATTGTGTGATCCTGGGCAAGTCACTTAACCCCAATTGCCTGAAAAAAAAAACAAAACCAAAAACCAAAAACCAAAAAACAAGCAAACAAAGAAGAATAAGGAAATTTTTTTAATAGTGGTCACTAAGCAACAAAACAAAACTAAAATTTTTTACACTTTAGCAGAAAATAACTTGTTCCTAATATGAGAACCATTCCCAATTCAGCTGTTTGGGTATAGGCAAACTATCAACTTGGTAGAGCAAAGACCAAAATTAATACAAAACTAGAAGAATAAAAATGAGGAAATAATATGCCATATAATTAAAACTCCAATCTGATCTATTTAAAACCACACTGATAATGAAAAATGAGAAATGATGAACAGGTTTTTGACACAAATTATAACCATTTTTAAAAAAAGTTTAATTGATATAAATCTATTTCAATAACAAAAAAAACCCTGGAAATGCTTAGCACTAAAATATTTCATATTGCTAAGAAGAGAGAAACATGGTGGCTAAGGGTAACACCAGTTTGCTAAATCAGAAAGGATGGTGGAAGATTATGTGTAGTATTATCTCATAAAACTAATAAGCAGTAGAAAACAAATTTCAAGAAAGCTTAGAGAGAGATCCAAGATTCAGAGGACACTGAAGAGTGAAACTAGAATGAAGACATCAAACATGAAAAATGGAAAATATCTGTAAAGACTTTCAAAGCATTTTTTACATAATCGAGGACCACATTTGGCCTCTGACCTCACAAGACTGGATACACTGCATGTGGAAGTTGAAAAGGCACCGGAGAAAACAAAGAAAGGAAGACTAGATGACTATCAGAAGACCACTTTTTTGTGCAGGAGGTAACATAGTTTTAAGGATGCTGAAAAACTGATTCTCAAGAGAAGTAAAAGAAGAGAGAAATCCAGAGACATGGAAAAATTTTATTTTTACAAACAAGTCAACAACAGCAATAACAACAACAACAAACTCCTACTGACTCATATCCTATTCTCTCATCTCTCTAAAATTTACAAAAAAATACTCTATACATGCATCATGCACATTATTGATGAACATATACAAAAAGGTTTTCAAAAGATATTTTATGGTAGATTTTATTCCACAGGACAAAATACTACCTTCTAAAGGCCTTCCACCAAGGTGCCTCCCATATACATAAAAATTGTACAAAATTACTTGGAAAACATGACAGAAAGACCTTTTAACACCCCTCTTATTATTAATGTATCAAGTGAAGCTTAAAAAAGAGATGTTTGCTCACCAAATGTATTTGCTGTTGTCATGGAAGATGTCCAGCAGATGGTCTAAACTGAAGAGAGATTTCTTATGGATGGTGAGGTCTTCCAGATGCTCTGTTTGTGGATGACATTGTGCTGATTGCATTAAGCCCTAGAACACTGCAGAGTCTCTTAAATGAGATCCACAATCATTTGAAAGAGTTCCAAGTGGATGAAAAATTGCTACTGTCCAGACTCTAATACATAGTTGGATGGATAACCCATATAACTTACCCATCAGTTGATATGTTATGGATCAGACACTTTGTACGGACAATCAATTGGGCTTAGGAAAAAATAGGAGGAAGAGAATATGATGGATTCCTTTTGGTAAACTTAGCAGCTCTTTTAACGACCCCAAACTTATTTCTGAAATAAAGGCACATCTTTTTTTTCCTTTTCTTTTTTTTTTTTTAACACCAATATCCTTCCAGTGATAATCTATGGCTGCAAGTCTTGGAAAGACTTGTTTTTAAAGAAATAAAATTGAAGGTTGCTCACCTAAATAGTAATGGAGAGATGCATTGTGCATATAATTAGGTTACAACCCAGTATAAATGAGTAACGGGATGGGAGTATCAGTGAAAATTATGTCATTAGAGAAATGTATGAGTAGAAGAAAGATAGGCTGGATATGCAATGACAGTAAGGAATAACGGATGACAGCCATGTGCTCCCTGTACACGCAGTGTTAAAAGAAATAGAAGGCTTTAGTATATCAGGTAGATCTTTTTCTCCCTCTACCCCACAATGGCAGACTAACGGGACGATAAGGACAAGACGTGCACAGGACGGGCAGACATTAGTGGAAGGAATATCCACATGACCAAAATTATAGCTCCACTGAAGTATTAAAGTAAGTAATTTACTGGGGTGAGAATTAACCAGGATACAGATCTCGGCCATTGCAGCAGAGCTGATGGCAGCCAGTTCTGCTTCTTTTCCTCTGACTTTTCTAGTGTTTTTTTTGTCTTGGTTTGTTTTTTTGGCTTGCTGTAGGTTTCTTTGAGCTTCAGGATAATTGCATGCCCTGCTGCTAGTTAATGGGGAGAATATTTTTTTTCCAGCCTCTAAAAGATTCAGTGGGAGGTGCTACGCCTGAAATGTGATGCAGGGAAAAGGGGACTAGAATTCAGTTAGGAATAAGGCACAGGTTAAGACCTCAAGTCAGAAATCTTCATAGAAAGGCATTTGTACATAGGCTGGGGACATGGGTCTGATTAACAAAAGCACTAAAAAGTCTCTAATGCTGACCAGCACAGAGGCCTCTAGGAGTTCATAGTAGGAGAAAAGAAAGTAAAGCATAATCTGATATGTAAACCCTAAGTTCTAGGAGTATGGGTTTCAAAGAGTCTAGAGAATGGATGGATAGGATTGAATGGTAATATTCTTCCAAGGAAGGTGTCCCAAGATGGACGGGAAGGTTTTGAGAGTAAAATTTTGAAGACTTAAGCAGGTATTATAATTATGAGGAAGAAAAAGAACAGTACCTAAAGAGAAAATTGGGGAATTCATCCACCATTTCAGATTTTTGAAAGATAAATATCGGAGCAAGAAGACAGAGAAGATAGGAGCAAGGAAGAATACAAAACAATGGTAACATCGTCTTATAAGAATAGTGTCAGGAGCATTAAAGCTCAGACTGAACTAAGGCTGGTGATGAAAACAAAGGAAGGAAAAATTTTTTTTGTTCGTTTTTAAAGGCTACATTGGGGCCAAAGAGAGCAGGAAAGAAGAGGTAGGACCACTACTTATTTAGGGTGGAGTAGATTATGATAATGGCCAACAGTAAGAAGGGTTTATTTATTTAACACTTTGCTTTTATTCTCTCTTTCAGCAAGAATGATTTTTAGATGGGGAATAAAAATTATTAGTAAGAAGTGAAAACCAAAGAGAAGTGAAGAGATGTAAGACTATATCCAACCGTTACCAATAAGTTCAAGTCACTAAACCGGGATGGAGGTAGTAGGAGCTAACATTTATAAAGAGCTTTAAGGTTTTCAAAGCACTTTCATATATCGCCTCATCTGATCCTCACAAAAACTCTGCGAAGTAGGTGCTATTATTACTTCATTTTACGGCTGAGGAAACTAAGGCACAGAGAAGTTAAGTGACTTGCCCTGAGTCACCTTACTAGCGTTTAAGGCAGGATTTGGACTCAAGTCTTCCTAACTTCAGGCCCAGTGCTCTATTCCTTGTGCAAATCTGCCCCTCCCAAGTACACTGAAAGAACTGGCAGATGCTACCGGTAGTGATCTCTGAAAAATCTTCAAGAAAGGAGAGAGCACTGGAAGTAGGGAAGGGTTAATTTCCTAATTTTCCAAAAAGTAAATACAGTCAAACCTAGAGACCCCTGCCTATTCTGCTTTAGGGCAAAACTCTAGAACAAAGGGAAGGTTTGTGGGTACTAAGAAGTAAGCAATGATTACTAAAACTAGCACATAAAGGGAGCATAGGTTGGGAAATCACATTACCATAAAAATAAAAGATATCGATAATTTTTAGTAGGCAAAAAAAAAGGCCAGCATGGTTTCATCAAGAACAAGTCCGGCTAGACTAACTTCATTACTTTTGTCAAAGAATGCCATAGATGTAAAAATCACTTGACAAAATCAGGTTATACTGTGAGCAAGATGGAGAGAGACGGATCAGAGAGTAACATGGGTTGCTGGGTTTGGAGCTAGCTGAATGACTGGACACAGAGTAATCACTAAGGGGTCAAGTTCTCTAGTTTAATGGCCGAGGGATCTGTCCTTGTCCTGTACTGGTTTCTGAAGAAATATCACATACAGCTTCAGATCTAGAAGGGTCCCCAAAGCTCATCTAGTTCAACCCCCTTGATTTACGGAGGAGAAAACTGAGGCCCAGAGAAGAGACATTCACTTGCCCAAGGCCACACTGGTCATTAGTAGCAGAGCTGGGATTATAAGCCACCTCTTTCGACTCCCTATGGAGTGCTCTTCCCACTGCACCAGCAATAGAAACATTACTCAATTTGCAGATGACACAACCTGAGAGGGATAGCTAATATGCTTACAATATTATCAAGATCCAAAAAGATCCTGATATAATAGAACACTGGACTGAATAACAATAATAATTCATATTTATACGGTACTATTTACAAAGTATTTTTTACTTTGTGAGGTAGGTAGTATAAGTATCATTATCACCTTTACTTTCCAGATGAAGAAACAGATTCTGAGAGGTTAAGTAACTTGCCAATGGTCACACAGTAATTGTCTGAGATAGGATTTGAACCCAGGTCTCCTGACTACATATTCAGGACTTTCTCCATCATGTTGTACTACTTCCCTAAATGCAGTAAGATGAAATTTAAAAGATATACATGTCAAGTTCTATACATGGGTTCAATAAATTAACTTCACAAGACAGAGGTGTCATAGCTAGATAACAGTTCATATGAAAAAGGCTGGGGGTTTTTAGTAGATTGCTAGCTTAATATCAAATGAAATAACATATGTAAAGCACTCAATCTTAAAGTGCTATATAAAATCCAGCTCATTATTATTATTGATATGTTAACAGTGTGATTTGGTAGTTAAAAAAGCAAGTGCTATCTTAGCACTTATCATTGGGAGAGGCACCAGAACTGGGGCAAGGAGTTTCAGTTCTTTTATATCCTGCCCTGGTCAGACCACATCTGGAGCACTGTGCTCAGTTCGGGGCATTATGCTTAAAGAAGGAAACACAGAATCATGAAATTCTTAGGCTGGAAGAGACCTTGGGGCCATCTGGTTCAACCTGTGCATGAAAAATCATTTCCTCTCTTACATGTCTGCTGAATGGTTATTTAGTCTCTGCTTAAAGATGTTAAGTGAGGGTGAACCCACTACTTCCCAGAGGCAGCCCATTCTATTTGGAATAACTCTCATAGTTAGGAAGATTTTCCCAACATCAAGCCCAAATTTATCTCTCTGCCACTATTGTGGCATCCAGAAAAGGGTAACTAGGACTGTGAGAGGACTACAGAATATACTGTATGAGGATCAGTTAGAACAATGAGGATGTTTAGCCTAGAGAACAGGACTTGGGGGACATAACAGGAATCTTTCTGTATCATAAAATTTGTTCTGCTTGAACCCAGAAGGCAGTAATAGGAATAATTGGTGGAAATTGTAAAGAAGATTTAGGCTTGATATGAGAAAAACTTCTAAACAATCATTAGAATGTAAACTCCTTGAGGGTAAGGGTTTTTGTTTTTATTTCTGTATCCCTAGTAATTAGTACAGTGCCTTGTACATAGTAGGTACTTAATAGATATTTGTGGAACTGAAATTAATTAGGCCCAAAAGGGTAACGGGATGTGTTGAAAAACAGTGGGTTCCCTGTAGTGTGGACAACCACTTGTCAGGAATGTCATAAAAGGGATTCTTGGTCAGCAAAGGTAGGACCAGACGGCTACTGAGATCCTTTCCAGCTCTCTGACTCAGTGATGCTGTGCAAGAATAACATCTTTATCTCATTTTCTAAAGCAGTAGACTGAAGGAAAATCCAGCCAAGAAGTTCAACTCATTCACTATGGGGGTTTACATTTTACATTAGACATGCTTACACGTTCTATATTTTTTGTATTTCCATCTGAGTGTTATTAAATACCTCTTACTTTAAGAGACATATTTCCAAATCCTGTCTGATGACAAACCATTAATAGGGGAAGGGCACCATTCGGACTTTATGTTAATGACTTGTGGCTTCGTGGGTGTAGTTAGTCTCAGTGATGCAGTCTGCAACACTGCTATGTCTTAGGAGACAGTCTTTGGGAGTTTCTGTGGCTTAAGAATTCATCCCTTTGCAGCCAACCTAATGATAAGTCTCCTTAAACTTAACTTCTTTAGAAGAAACAGTCTGTTGCTAGGCCCATATCTGAAACCTTTCCATACTGGTAGGACCTGCCCAGGCTTGTGCTCCATTAGCATAAACCTCTGAGAACCCAGGGCACCTTCACACTGTGACTTTAGTGGAAGGTGAGGAACTTACCACAGGGAAAAAAGAAAAAGGAGAAGATGGCTGCAAAAAAGCACAGAGCTGGTCCTCTGAGTATAATATTTAAGATGTGCTGCTTGTAGAAGGCCTTGTTCTCTGACTGTCGGATCTGGCGATTCAGTAAGTATGGGTAATGGAACCCCATAGGTCACAATTGCTGCCTGTGAGGAAGGAGGAGAAATCAATGTCAACATATGTAACCAGCATGCACAGCAACCTCAGAAACAGTATGATACACACAAAGAAAGATGGGTTGCACTGGCTCCTTGGAGCAAGGAAAAACACTGTCTTCTGAGAGATGAACAAGCTATATACCAAGTTATATACACCAATAGAACTAATTAAGTTTACCTTGTAACTGTTACATTTTAATTTCAATAAATAAAACCATTAATTTTTAGATATTCATTTAAGTCTCCATCAGATTCTTTGTCTGTTCATTACCATTAACTTTTCTTCTTATGTGGTTATACTGAATACTTGGTTTTTCTGGGTCTTTTTTCCCCTTTGCTTAGTATTAATTCTAAAGGTCTTCCCATAATTCTTTATATTCCTTATATTTCTTAAGTTTTAATTATACTATAGTATTCCATCATATTACTATGCCAACAAGTGAACCATTCCCCTATTGAACATTTAAGTTGTTTCAAGTTTCTTGCAAACAGAAATAACGTGCCTGGAAAACTTTCGAGAAGATAGCTTTAAAAAATATAATACTTTCAAGGTCAACTTCACTTGAAGGCCAGGATTTCAAGGTGACTTCACAACAGAATGATCACGTCAAAGAGGACGACTATTTTTCCACTTTTTACTGAAGAGGGGGTGCAGTAAACATTCTATAAGTCTGTAATGCCATCAGAAATAAATAAGTTTACCTGTTTCTCTCTGCCTCCCCCTCCCCCCACTTTCTCCCCACTCCACTAGCTCTCACTGAGTTACACTGATTTTTAATTATTTATGACAATTTGATGAGTGTGAGGTCAGGGCCATACCTAGGGCAGCACAACTGGGGTTTTGCCTGGGGCACTGCAATTTTAAGCTGCTTTCAGTACTTTTGTTCCTTCAGCCAGCACTCGTACTACTCTGTTATCTCCCTCAAATCATAATTTGCCCTAGAGTCTGGGGTGGTGTGAAGGAGAAGAAGAATGCAGAGCTTCTAATGATCGCTATATCCTTCCCCTTCTCTCATTAGGAACACATCGGCACTTGAACAGTGTGCACTCAGCACAGGACAAGACAGTACCCGATGCACAGGTATGCCTTTGCTCCTTTTGCACTTAGTCCCTGCCTTTGAGACTGAGGACTTCTGGGGTTGGGAGAGCATGCTACAGGCAGCTGTGTGGTCTGACCTTAGAACATGAGCATGAGAATGGAGGCCAGAAGGACAGCAGCAGCAGGGCCCTGCATGTAAGGGCATGCTAGTCTCAGACAGCAGGTGAGTCTGGCTCGGTGGCTAAGACAGGCAGCTTCTAAAATTGTCAACAGCTAGAGAAGTCTGGTAGATGATCTGCCTTCCAGTATTCCTTGTTTTCTTTTTTGGTGATTTTAACTGTTCTAATCTGAGACCTGGAGCTGGATTCGGGAAAAGAGTATCCCTCTCCCGTGTTCTGTGGGTATGGGGGATTCTGGGTTACAGCTGGGCTGGAATGTTCACATAGCAGCATTGAAGCACTTGGCCTGCATCTTTGCGACATTAAATATACCATCTGGCTACAGAAAGTTTATTGACTGTGTAGTATAAATATAGAGGATTACTGATTGAGAAGGTAAAATTCTAGACACAGAGAGAATATGGAAGTAATAAGCCATATATTTTTCTATAAACTTCCAATAATTTGGAGCCACATTTCATCATGGTGAAATCACTTTGCTGGTGGCTTTAGTGCCCCCTGGTGGAAAAATTAAATATTACACTCTATTGTTTGGTAATAATATACACTATACCTTTCTACAGGCTTAAAGAAGGCAGTACACAAGCCAATGTGGGTTGCTACTGCCCACAGTGGGCAGCATCCCAAGTGACACATAGCCTACCCCAACACCACATGAAAACAACTGAATTAGCATCTACTTAACAAAAATAATTAGTTGAAATAGGAAACAATCAGACGTCTTGGGATCTCTTGCCTCATTAAATACAGAAAGTAATTTTGCTAGTACTATTATTTTCACTAAATTAATCCAATCTATTCACAAATATTAACAATCTCTGCAGTTATTTAGGTCATTTTTTATTTCAGTCATTATGATTTAATAGTTGTCTTTAGACAGGTGGGCCTATGCATTTATTTCTATGTGGATAAATCTAATAGTTGATGTTTTTTGTTACTGAAAATAGGTTTTTATGTTTTCTTGATCTTTATTGCTAGTAGATAAAAACTCAAAATTTTCTGTGTATTAATTTTCTATCTTGCAAACTTGTTGAATTCATTTATTGTCCCCATTAATTTACTGGTTGAGATGGTTGGATTTTCTAGATAAACCATCAGGTAATCTCTGAACAATGGCATTTTGATTTCTTCTTTTGAATGGTAATGTCACTCATACTGCCCCTCCCTCCCTCTTCTTATTATAATTGCTAGTAATAAAAATGGTGAAGGTGGGAGTCCTTGGACTATACCTGTATTTAATTGTGAATGCCTGTTTACTTCATATTACACTGAGTGTTGGTTTGAGGTAGATACTTTTGATTATAGTTGAAGGAAAATCCCTCTATACCTACTCTTTTAAATGCTGTTTTTAAAATCATGGATGGGAGCAGCTAGGTGGTGCAGTGGATAGAGTACCTGCCCTGGAGTCAGGAGGACCTGAGTTCAAATCTGAATTAGACACATAACACTTTCTAGCCACATGACCCTGGGCAAGTCACTTAACCCTGATTGCCTCACCAAAAAAACCCAAAACCAACATAAAATCATGAATGAACTTGACTTTTATTAAGGGCCTTTACTTTACCTACTGAAATAACTATAACTTTTGTCTGTATGTTGTATTATATTGTTAATTTTTCAGATGTTGAAACAGCTTTATATACCCAGTATAAATCCTGTCTGGTTACAATGAATAATTTTTAAAAATATATTTCTCTATTTTGTTAGCTGATATTGTTTTATATTTCTATATTCATAAGTGGTATCATTAAAAATTTAAAAATCAAAAGCATATTTGTTTCATAAAGGAACTGAATAGTGTTCCACATTTTTCTATATCTATGAATAACCTCTGTAATATAGGGATACTTGTTTTTCAAAATTTTAAAGAATTTACATATGAATCTGTCTGGGTCACTTTTTTTGGTGGAGTAATTGTTTAATGACTTGTCTTATTTCTTTCTCTGAAATTGGTCTATTTAAATTCATAGTTTCTTGTCATATCCGTTTGGGAAATTTATATTTTTTTAAAAATCATCTACTTCTTTAAAATTTTCTAGTTTATTATTAATCAACTCAAATATGCTTTTATTTTCTATTTTGTTTATTTCTCTTCCTAATTTTTGAAACTTTCCTTTGACCATTTTGTTCCTTTTTTGTTAATCTAATTTTTACACTAAATGTTTTCCTATAAACAACATATTTATTGATTTTATTAGTCTACCTGTAACCCTGTTTTAATAGGCCATTGATATTCACATTTATTGCTATAAACAATAACTTTTACTTGTTTTCTATTATTTGCTTCTAGGTATTGCCTCATGAGAGTGAAATGTATCTTAGTCTTCTATAACTATTTCAATCAGTCAAACTAATAAATAAAACATGTTATATTTCTGTTTTTAAACTTTAATTCATATATTTCCCTGAGGTTTAACTCCCTTTCAAGTACAGATTGAGAAGTTTTACCTTTGGGATTGTCAGTTCTTTTCCCTTTAATGTTGCTGTTACTGTTTTCCTTTTGTGTAAAACACCTTTTTATGAGTAAATATGGATATTAAGAATACATATTTTTTATCTGAGCTCTATTTTATTTTTAATCTTCCCCTCCTTACCAAATGAGGTTTGGGGAGCTGTTGATATGTTGGAGTCATGCCTGGCATGCTTCTTGGGAATGAGACCTAAATCCCAGGGACCCTTTGTTGGTCTTATTCAAGTGAAGATGGTGAACTTATCTAAGTTTCTTGAACTTATTTAAGTGAAGCCAGAGGCCCCTAACACCATATGGAAATTGTCATACATTAGAGGACTGAAGGATAATGCGTACAAGCTAAAGAGGTGGCAGTAGTAATATATTTCATCTTCCTATTTGCTATGTATAGAATTATAGAATCTCAGAGCTTGAAGTAATTTTATTTTATTTGAAAAAAAAATTTTTTTAAGGCAATTGGGTTTAAGTGACTTGCCCAGGGTCACATAGCTAGTAAGTATCAAGTGTTTGGTCTGAGGCCGGATTTGAACTCAGGTTCTCCTGACTTCAGGGCTGGTACTCTATCCACTGTGCCACCTAGCTTCCCCTTGAAGTAATTTTAGACAGCACCTTGTCCAACCAATTCTTAAAGCATGAATCTTCTCTACAATATCACTGACACACGGCTTATCTGGTCTCTACTAAAGCTTAGAAGCAAGGAACTCACTACCTTCTGAGACAGTCAGTTCAACTTTGTGTCAGTTCTGATTGTTATGATGTTAGAACCAAAAGTGTAGGCAAGGTGAAGAAGCCTGAGCTCAGGGAAACAATCTAGATAAGCAAGACCCACTAGCAAATGAACACAGAATCCTAGGATTTAACAAACCTAAGAATACTGACCATTAGGGGAAAGATTTATTATTTGATAAACCCCTGAGAAAATTGGAAAGTAGTTTGACAGAAATTAGGCTTAAATGAACATATTACACCATGCAGACATTCTCCATTTGTCTTCTTTTTGGTCCCTTTAAACAAATACTCAGGCCCTCAGTTGACTTTTACAAGAAAGGTTCTATAATGATGGTGGTAGTGGGGTTACTAGAAAGAAATAGTGATATAAAAAAGATCATTAATACAACATTTTTTAAAAAAAGAAGTCATTTGAATTAACTGTACCTGACTGAGGCCAATGGCGATGACACAAATGCAAAACAGGAAAATACCCAGAGGCACATCAGGAAAGGAGGCCATTAAGGAAAACTGCAAAGGAAAGTTCAAGTGTTCAGCACTTCACTGAGACACCAACCATTTGTGAAAAAATGTTATGAGATCAGAAGCTAACACCACTATCTCACCCTGAATTTTAAATACCTGTACAATAAAATGCAAAAATAGAAGGGAACATCAAAGAATATCTAATTCCAAAGTCAAGTCTCTGGAACCCTAAGCATCAGGGCAAAACTGAGGTCCGTAAGTACAGGCCTAAGGTACATATATCTGAGAAGGAAGAAAGGCAGGAAAAAAGGAAAAAGAAATTGAGAGGAAGGGAAGGGACGGGAGAGAGTAAGAGAAGACAAGGAGGAGGAAGAAAGAAAAAGGTGAAGACGGAGAAGCAAGAAGAGGAGATGGGAAAAGAGGAGTGAATGAGAAATACGAGGAAGGAAAAAGACAGGTGAGAAATGCCTGTAGTATGGTTAGCAGAAGACTATAATTAGCCCTCAGGGACCTTGTGGCATTACCATGTGTTACCATGATGTAGCCAGCTCATCCCTTTATTCTAGGGAGGGCTTATTTCAAACTGGTAAGTATCCACCTTTAAAAACCTTTGGGAAGGTTTAGAAATGTGAAGATGTGTTGCACAATGGACATTTGAGATTTAGTTCAGGTTATATATTTATATATGATTGCGGGGTCAACAACTGAAAAGTAACACTTGTTTTTGTATTCTTAGTTACTAAGGTAATTTAAAATGAATTACTTAAAAATTAAAAAAACAAACCCAGAAGCTCTTCCACTTAAATATCTTCTTATATATTGAAATAATTCAAAATACTATGATACATTTAAAAACCCACTGAATTACTCCTGCATATTTATATATTACATTGCAACCTAAGAACTTAAAGTTTATTGAAGATCTTCATTTATCTAATAATTCTTTAACATTCCAATGAGGCAGGTGATAGGTATCACTGTTAGTTTGCAGATCAGACTTTCAGAACTGGAAGACTTTAGAAGCCACTTAATCTAACCCTCTACCTAGCACAATCTATACTATCCCCAACAAGTGTTTATCTAACCTCTTGTTTGTACAATTCCAATCACAGGAAGCTCACTACCTTTTGAGGCAGCACAAACCACTGTGGAATGGCTTCTATTGTGAGAAAGTTCTTTGTAATACTGAGCTGAAAGCTGTCTCCTGGTAATAGAAACCCAGTACAATTCTCCTCTCTGGGGCCAAACAAAACAAATTTAATCCCTCTTTCATAGGAATGCCCTTCAAATATTATCTTTTCTTCTCCTCTCTACCATCTTCTTTTCTCTTTATGCTGAACTCCAGAGTTTGTTGGTATTTCACAAGTTTAGCTCTTAGCTGTCCCAGGTGAGATTTGTTTCAGAGTTCCTGAAAGCAGGGCCTGGGTCTACTTTTCTTTCTCCTCCATAGCAGAGAAAAAGGCAAGGTTAAGCATAGTAAACTTGGGAGATGTTTGATGACTTACTTATGGTTGGCACCACAGGGGATGTGAAGTTAACTCACCGTGTATGGCAAGAAAGTAATAATCATCATACAGGCCTGTAAAAGAAAAAAAGTCAGTCACTTGCCTGATCAAAGTAATATCCTGGTCATCCTCGACAGTGTTTCTCTTTCCAGCCATAGTGTATCTAAAAACGACGGGAGGCCAATGACCTCATGGGTCCCTTCTGGGGTAAGGGCAGGGCAGAGGAAACCACCTTTTTTTTTTTTTAAGTACCCAAGGAACTCTCCTCCCTCCTCAGTGTCATAGGGATCTGTGCTCGGCCCTCAATTTTATCAATGACCTGGATAAAGGTACAGATGGCCAGTTTAATACATTTTATATGAAATAAAAACAGGAAGGATAATTCACATGTTAAATAGAAGAATCAGGATCCAAAAATATTTTGACAAGTTAATATGCTGGGCCAACAAGATGAAATTTAGTAAAAATAAATGTTGTTTACACTTGAGTTAAAAAAATAAACTTCATAAGTACAGGATGGGGGAAGTGTTGCTGCACAGTAGAAATGGAAATGGACAGTAGTATGAAAAATTTGATCTAGGATTTAGTGGACTATAAGCTCAATATCAATCAATCATAGTGTACCTCCAAAAGCTAATACGATCTTAGATTGCATTAAGACAGCATCTCATCCATAAGTAGAGATGTGATCGTTCCACTGACCTCTGCCCTGGCTGGGCCATAACTGGAGCATAGTTCTGTACAGCACAGTTTAGGAAGCACGAGAATAATCAAAGGAGGTCAGTGAGAAAGAAGGCACATCTTGGCATATGAGGATTAACTGGAGTAATAGGGGATATTTCACATAGAGAAGAGAAGACCTGGGGGACACATGATAGCTATCTAAAGTACTTGAAGGGGCATAATGTGGATCAGAGATGAGACACACTCTGTTTGATTCTAGAGGGCAGAACTAGGAGTAATAAGTAGAAGGTGCAAAGAGGCAGATAAGAGCAGGGAAAGCATGTCAGATTTGATTTGGGGGAAATCATTCTAATATCTCTTTCCTTTATTTCAAATTTGGCTTAAAAGAAATGATACAACTTGGCATGCTGGAGACCCACATAACAGTTACAGCTCATGCTAACTCCTCTCAATTGCAGCTACAGAATTTATCTTCTTAGCTTTCTTACATCAAACTGTCTAGCTTTATTTTCTGACCGTTCCTCAACATGCTGTGCCATGCCTGGAGCTAACAGGTCAAATACAAAAAAGATGTGTTTGTTAGATCAGGGTCAAGACTAAGCTAATTACCCTGGGGCATGAGGAGTGGAATTAATTCATCTCAACTTCACTTCCGTGAGAATCAAATTTTAAGTTGAAATTATTTCTAAAAAGAAGGAAAAGAAAACTCACCAGGTTTAGTAAGGCCAAAGTATCATCTATCATTCCAATTACCTGGAATAGTCTAGAAACAAATGCAATGAAAAAAGAGGAAACCAAAGAAATATAGTCAATAATAAATGTATTCTCATATTTAATTTTGTAATAATTTGACATTTGTTAATAAGTGCCAGAGTACTTGGAAAGCTTTAAAAAAAATTTCCCTTCTGACCATACTTTAAGGTACTTTTTTTTTGCAAGGCAGTTGGGGTTAAGTGACTTGCCCAGGGTCACACAGCTAGTGTTAAGTGTCTGAGACTGGATTTGAACTCGGGCCCTTCTGACATCAGGGCTGGTGCTCTATCCACTGTACTACCTAGCTTCCCCCCAACTTATGGCACTTTTTACAGTCATATCTTTTTCAGAATATTGGTGTGATGATATTTTACTTGTTGCTAGTAATAAAACCTGACAGCAATCCTGTGAGGTAGTATAGGTATCAGTATGACCATTTTACAGATGAGGAAACAGAGGCCCAGAAGTTAAGTGCCTTGTCAGAGTCAGTGGTAGCCAGAACTAAAACCCAGGTCACCTGACCTGACTTTAGAGGCTAAAGAATCTAAGTGGGATTGGGATTCCTGGAGGCCAGATGCCTAATGCTGACAGTGAGACTTAGTCAGAAGGGGCTACCACACCAACATTTCTGGGGTTTGTCCTTGTAGCAACTCAATAAAAATAAAAACTTAAAGCTATTTTCAGAGTAAGGTTTCAGGACTGGTCCCCTGCTTAAGGATTCTCTGCAGAAGGTGCCCCTTAATCTACGCCACCACCATGAAGGATGCTCTTTAATTCGACAGCTTAACAGGTCAGGATGCTCAAGCGCAAACCTGCTGCATGATGTGCATGTTGGTGGCTAGTTCATACTATCATATGTTTCAAGTTGGAAGGGGCCTCAGATGTAGTTCAATTTCCTATCTTACAGATGAAGAAACTTGAGGCACAGAACAGTTACTTACCCTTGGGTACACAAGGTAGTAAGTTGAAGAACTACGATTTGAACCCAGGTCCTTTGACTCTAAATCTAGCGTTCTTTCCACTGTACTACACAGACTGAGGGAGAAAATATAGAGATGAAAAATCCAGGGGTTGTAGAGCCAAGCTGGAGAAGGAATGGGTAATGTAGGGAAGGGAAGGAGGAATAGGAAGCTCATGGTGGGAAAGGCAGAGAGACTGAGGTGGGGAAAATGGGAGACTAATGGGGTTCTCAGAGGTGAGAGGCAAGCTAGGGAAAAGAATAGAGGGATGATGGAACAGCCAGAGGTATGGGAGAGTCAACCTGGGGGAGGAGATTAAGGGAGTAAAGAGATACCAGGATCTGGGTTCTTATCTAGAATTGTGGGTCCTGGTCAAAGCACATTTATGTAGTATAGCTGCTTCTAAGAGCAAACCTGGGAGCAGTTAGATCTGGGGCTCCCAAGATCCTCTTATGTAGGCTAGCCTAAAAGGTAATATAATTTCCTAGGATTTTCTAAAAATTGACATCACAACCCAGATAGCTCTGGCACCTAAGATTAACATAGTCTAGTCAGCATTCCCTCAAACTTGGTGTGCTCTGCCCTTTTGTCTCCAGAACTAACTAAATTGTCCTCTGTGACTGACTGGAGAAACATGAAGATACAGGGCACAAAGTGACCTTGTATTAAACATTAAAAAAAAAATCTTTCCATATGTAGGTATTCCAATATCTAGCCTCAGTAGCTACGATTCATCCCTGAGATCCTCATCTTTTGTCTGATTTACATTTCTGAGGAATTCAGATTTGCAGAGGAAAACGGTGATTTGTAAATAATATTTTTAGATTATAGAAATCTTAGAAAATGCATGAATATTGGATGTTTTCTGAGGTAGAACCCTATTTTTATATTGAAATTCCATTATCCTTTCAGAGATGTCTTTATTAAAAAATTAGGTCTAAGGCATTCCTTTAAAAACACAGTTAAGAAGGCAGTCAACATGTTTAAATCATATTTATAAGCTTGTGTGAATCTGTAAATGCTGTACATATAATATTTATAACTGAAAGAAACATTAATATTTCATAAATCAAATGCTATATTCAAACTACCATACTAGGAACTGGTGATAAAGTATAATGACTCTTCAAAAATCAGGCTTTTTTTGGGGGTGGGGGTAGTGCTGAGCAATGATCCCATCTAGTCTAGAACTAATGCACTGGATGACAAAATCTGGACAAAAAAGATCCTGACAGATTAGAACACTGGTCTCAATCTAAGATGAAATTTAATAGGGATAAATGTGAAATCCTATACTTAAGTTAAAAAAGAAATTAACTTCAAAAGTACAGAATGAGGGAGATGTGGCTAGATATTAATTTGTCTAAAAGGGGTTTCAGTGGACTGCAAATTTAGCATGAGCCAAAGAGCAAACAAGATCTTGGGCAACATTAAGGGAGATACAGCTTAAAGGAATAAGGTGCTGATGGTCCTCACTACTCTGCCCTTGTTAGACCACAAATGCCGTATTTAGTCCAGTTGTGGGCACTTTGATTTAGGAAAGACATTGATAAGTTGGAAGGCATTCAGAAGCCCACTAAGATGATGAGGCTCTTTAAGTCCATGCCATATGAATATTAGTAGTAAGAAATGGAGATGGTTAGCATGGAGAAAGACTTCTTTTGAAGTATTTGAAAGGCTGTCATCTGGAAGGGGGCATTATTTGGTCCCAGAGGGTAGAACCAGGAGCAACTGATAGAAAATTGGGCTTGAGATTAGAAAAAACTTCCTATTAAAGTGGAACGGGATTTCTTGAGAGAGTGGGCTCCACTTTCCTTGGAGGTTTTCAAGCAGAGGCTGGAGGACCACTTGTTGGCTATTTTGTAGAAGGGATTCTTTTTTGGGTTTGGGTTGGCCTAGGTGGTTCCTAAGGTCCCTTTCACCCCTGAAATTCTGTGGTTCTATGAAGTTCTCCAGAATTTAAGAAAACCACTAGGGAAAAAAAGGGAAAAGAAAATCACTGAGACTCATTCATCAAGAGATTAGAAAGAAACAATTTTGTACAAACAAATAAAATGATTTAAAAACATCCCAAGTTTAGTAAGAGGGAAAAAAAGGAAAAAGCTCTTTTTGTTGGAATGTAAAGGTTTACAGCCACTACATAGATTTTCCTGGGTGTTGAGAATTTTCCTTCTGAGGATGTTTCCTTGGTACTTATGCAAATAATTTACTACGTACCCTTTGTTAATCTATTAAACAAGGCAAAAATACTGGGTTTCATTTCCCCCGTATGACCAGGAATATCAAAGTGGTTGTTGTGTTTCACCATGTTCTCCTCTTCTGGAACTATGCCAGGACACTCTGAGATTGCAATGGCCATAGAAAATGACAGCACTTAGCAGAGTGCCTGGCACAGAGCAGGCATTTAATAAATGTGTACTGACCAACAGTATGCACTGTGTGGGATGGAGGCAAGTTATTACTACTGTGAAACTGTGCAATGAAAGCAGACATCTTTTTATAAGTTTACTGTAATATGTTTACTATTTTATTCCCTCCATGATGCAGAAAAGGATATATATGGTAATCTATCTGTCAGACTATACTTGAATTCTTAGACAGAAGGGCCCCAGTATGTACTTATTAACTTAATTTCCATTGTAGCTGCAAAGAAATGACTTCTTGTAGCAAGTTAGCAAAATTTGCTTGTCCTTTCAGATTTTGGACATTAAAAAAAAAACACTTCCCATTTTGCATACCTTATGTGTGCTGCCCAAGCCACAGTTACTATTAAAAATGTCATCAGGTAAACTGCAATTTTAGTTGCTAGAAGTTTTTGTATACTTTTGTCAAACCGCTGAAATGAAAGACAGTATTATCAGTAGAAGAATCTGGCATGCATCTGAAATTACTCATTTACAAATGACATAATTCTTCAATCATACAAGAATGGCAACATAATCCATCCTTCCCTCCTCCAGACTTGATGGCCATGTCCCAGCTCATCTGCATCTTTTTCAAAATACGGGAAGATAAATAATAGATAAAATCACTCAAATCTTCCTTCTCCAAAATTATGTAACTTATGTTAAAAAAAACTTCACTAAAACTCATATATTTTAATTACTCTTTCTGATCCTAGTTCTAGGCAACAGAGAGTAGGTTCTCATTTAACAGAATTGAATTAGATTGAATTTGCAAGCTTGATGGAGAGGCTGTTTTATCTTTAAAGAGCAGGTAGCTGGATGCTTAGCTGTAAAAAGCAGGATGGGAAGAAGAGGAAATGGTAAGCTAGTAGCTAAATGGGTTTTCTGGAAATCATAATTGATCTCCAAATTTAACTTCATCCAGTAGTTGCATTTTCCTCTCCCTGCAAACTTGCTGAGAGCCACGCCAAGCAGTCAAATTGGTGGGCTTTGTTCATTTCTGGAGCCCCTTCTCTGAAGCAAGAGTGACTAGGGGGTGAAATGACTGCAAACTGAGGCACAGAAGGGGGGAAAAGGCCTGTTTAGAACAGCTGTCAGGCCCTGGGAAATTGAGAGATGACTACAGAACTTAGAAACAAACTTTTCTTAAAACAGTCATATGAGGGATACTGGGGTCACCATTACATTATTAGGCAATCGTGTGTTGAACCAGATTAGCCTAATTCAGTTAAATAACGACTTAGCTCTGCTCATTGATTTAGAAAATAAATCCTATTGCTAAGGACCTGCTCTGAGTAAACTGAACCAAACTTTAAGTGGTGGTTTTACTGTAAGAATGGAGAAATAAAATGCATTTTCCCTAGTATCTCTCACCTCTCTGAGACAGTGACTTTAGCTAACAATTCTTTTTTAAAGAAAACAAAAAGAGGAAGATGAGAAAAGCAAGACTGATCAATCTGTTCAAAAAAAAGTCTTAACATTACACACCCATGGACCTCCCAGTTCTGCAAAGGGGGGGGAGTATTTCCTCACATCTCTTCTTTGAGGCTGTGCTTGTTGTTTGTCATTTCGCAACATTCACTTCTGATTATTTTGTGGTTCTTTCCATTTACATTGTTGCAGTCACTATGTACAGTTTTCTTGTCCGTACTTAATTTTTTATCAGTTCAAATCCTTCCATGCTTCTCTGTATTCATCACATTTGTCATTTCTTTTAGTACAGTACTCTTCCATTACATTTACGTACCAAAATTTCTTTAGTTATTCCTCAGTTTACTGGCATCTACTGTTTCTGATTCTTTGCTACCACAAAAATATATTTATCTGATATGTAAAAATATCATTAAGTGTACTTGTAACTGATATAAATCTAAGTCCATATCCAATCCATAAGGCTGCTGTATATCTAAAATACATTTTTTTTAAAAACTAAAAGTGCTGCTTAGGCTACTAGAAAGTGTTTTAAATTTTACCACCTAAGCTTCAAAAATTGAAGTTGGTAGTTGCATTTCCATGAATGTTTTTCCAAACTCTAAATTCCATCTACAAGTAGAGATACTACCTAGATAACTTCTAATTATAGGCATTTCTTTTAGCCAACTTGCTGTAGTCTCCCTAGAGAGTTGCAAGGATGGCTTGAATTACTTCTCAAGTTCTCTTCCAATTTTATGATTTTTTGACCCAATTTAAAAAATATATCAACATTTTTGGTGTTAGATTCAGGCAGAATTTGCATGCCAGTGCCTATGACTAGGTTAACTGGAACTAACTTTTATCTCCTTATCATACATCTTAAGCTATAAAGGACCATTCTTTCATTTCAACAACATACTCTCTCTAGTCACATTACTTATTTTAATACTTCAGGTATTTGTAATTTGTCCCTGTGGGTGGATGGTTCCTCCATGGCACAGCTCATAATCCTTCTGTATCTTAGTAGCTGGTCTTTCAGGGTAGTTGTGGCCTAAAATTCCATCATTCTGAACCTACTCTAGTGATGAATTCTCCAAACCTCAGACAATGGCCACATAGCCCATTATATGAAGCATCTTTAGCTGAGTAAGACCTGCCAAAGCTGGCACTCTGCTGGCATAACTTGAGAATATAGGGTCACCTTCACAACATGACGAAGCACTGAAGTATAATTAAAAAATAACTCTGAGAAGGCTTTCAATGGAGAATTGCCTTATTATTCCCATAAAAGCCCAAGGAACATATTCTGGACAGGCTGAATATGTCTTAGAATACTTTCTGTACTATAATTTTGAGAGAATAGTTGGGCATATTATTGCTGCAAAATACAGTATCCAAAAAGATTCTCACCTCACTTCAGAAATGCCTGGAAAAAAAAACTTTCAAAGCACTGTCTGTTGTTTTTTTCAAGAACCATTTTGAACAAATGTTCAGTTTGCAGAGTAGTTGAGTCCTTTATCCGTAGTTGCAGCTGAGTTCTTTATCAGAACAGTAATCCTTAGGATTGACCAGGATTTTACTCTTTAAGATATAGGCACCAAGTAGCATGGCTTTTATTCTATCATTTTTGTTCCAATATATTCCTGTGAGAGATGGTTAGTGGCCACAGCTAGATTAGTAAACGTTGTAGAAGCTGGGTTATCATGTACTTAGACTTTGTTAGTACTAAACCAAACAGATCATCTAGGGATTAATAGACATCTAGCGCTAGATCCTGATTATTAAGCAATCAAAACATGAATACATTCAGCCTAAATGAGTGAGTAATTTCAGCTTTATTGACTGCTTGAGGACACAACATGTGCAGAGATACTACTACCTCAGATACCATACATGAAAGGCTGTTAGTACAAAATTATAAGGAAAAAGAAATCAGTATTAAAATCTTACTATGGTTTTGAATCTTAGGTATTAAGTCATCAAATGCAACATGTGCAGAGATACTACTACCTCAGATACCATACATGAAAGGCTGTTAGTACAAAATTATAAGGAAAAAGAAATCAGTATTAAAATCTTACTATGGTTTTGAATCTTAGGTATTAAGTCATCAAATGCTTTCAGGTGATTTAAAGTGTTATAGCAAAGGAAATGCAACTTTAAATCTCTCACAGTACTCTACATACAACAGGCACTTAATGTTTGTTCAACTGAATTTTATATATGGGGCTTCTATTAACCATAAAATGAGTTGTGGCTGCAAAGCAATGAACGGACCAGAGCATGTACATTTAAATGACCTTTTGTCTTTCCAGGTGTCTAGGAGGCAATGGACTTATTCCATGGATGCTGCTGCTGTTCACAGTGTCTGGAACTCTTCTCTGGAACTTCTTTCAGAGCCAACATCATGAGACGACATTTTATTTTATTGTCACTTAAGAAAAAACACCCAAGCTGGTATCACCTATTTAATCCATTGGTTTTAGCTCTAAATGACATTTTTAGTTGTTTCCAAAAATTAAATTAGCCCTTGAGGACCAATAAGGCTCTGAAGGAAATTCCAAAAGTGGAGTTTAAAAACGTCTTTTGAGCACTGGCAGCAGCATCACAAAAACCTCCAAAGAGGGATAATTTCATTTGGATGTGTAAGTTTGGGGTTCTGTTAAAAAATTAATCGTATCATTTTGTTATACTTTCTATATGCTACCTTATTTCCCACTGCTTGTCATACTTCTGCCCTACTGAGGCTGGCCTCCTCATTATCCTCACTGCACACAGGCATGCACCAAACCACTCCTGCCTTGCGGCTTTTGTACCACCTCATCTCCTCCTCTCTGTATTACAATCCTGCACTCAAGGTCTTTTTCATATTCCTTCATAGAACCTTTTCATGGCCTCTCCAGACCACACCTGATATCTCTCTCCTCTAAACTCCCACTGCCCTTAAGAGGCCACAGAGTTTGGCATTTGTCGTTTTATGCATGTTGAGCTTTTCTCCTTAACTGGACTGTAAATCCCTTGGAGATCAGTGACCATGTCTTAATACATCTCCAGCTCCCAAGAGACTGAATTTTTAGCGGCGGATGTGGTGAGTTAATAGATCTGATCAACCAGAATAGTTCATTAACCAAACATGATTCTGCCAGGACATAAGTCAACCAGTATGTACTAAGTACTAAGGAGGACAACAGTATATTTTCTAATTAAGCCCTAACAAAGAGTTCACTGCTTTCTTAATATAGCCTAATGGGGGATGAAACATTTCTTAAGGCTAGTGGTTGTGGCAGCAGCAAGGGAATAGTCCCTGGGGCTCTAGTTCTGCATGGAATTGTGTAGAATACCTGGTCGGGGTAGATTTTCGTGTGGGCCACAGGCAGGATCTGCAACAGGAAAGAAACAAAACAAGATGAGTAACAGAATATTTGTTCTGAGAACCAACTGTTTCTCCTCTCTTGAACTGCATGTAATCAGTCTAAGGCGTTAGGAAGGAGGCATCTGGTTGGTGTATGGGGGCAGGGAGGGATGTTAGGGGCTAAGGGAAGGTGTGGACCAGGAGCACATACACACCATAACAGTGGCGATGATGGAAAGCAGGGCATCACTGAAGCTGAGCATTCGGTGGGATGACTGGGTGTTTTCACAGGAATTCCCATCTCCTGTGTCTGCTGAAAGTTCCATCTGTACCTCTGCATCTTCCTCTGGGGTCCCTGTTCCAGCCATGGGGTCAGCAGCTTCTTATTCAGCTGGAAACCACCCTATTCTGGCAGCTGTTGAGCACGCCCACAGCAAAAGGAACTTCAGAATCCAGATTCCACTTCTCCAGGTTTTAGAGAGGCCTGGGGGTGGAGTAAGAAGGGGAAAGGGGTCAGAAGGAGAAACACTTTGGTAAACTTCCCTACAGGGAAGCTGGCTGGCTCACACACAGCCCTCACCCCACAGTCACCTGGGGAGGTGTACCTTAGCATCACAAAAACATAAAGGACTTCCCTTGACTGCTCTAATCTGACAAACATTTAATAAGTGGCAACTATATGTTTAAGGACTGCTCTCAAAACAGCCGATAATATAATAGGAAAAAACTATCTAAACAAGTAACTGATAGAAATGCAGTAAGAAATTTTCAGGAGAGACTGAAAAGCTTTCATGGAAGAATGGGCACCTGAGCTGAGCCTTGCAGAGAGGCAAAGACTTCAGCTGAGACCAAGGGAGATGAGATTATGCTGGAAAGGTAGGCTGGAGTCAGAATGTGGGCAGTCTTAAACACCAGAATAAAGAGTTTATGCTTTATTTGGTAGGCAATGAGGAGTTACTGAGGCTAAGCAGAAGAGTGCCATAATCATAACCTTGTATAAGAAAGATTATTATCTGCAGTATAAAGATGGATCTGAGGAGAGGAGACTGGAGACAGACAAGTGCTGAATAATCCTGGCAGGTTGTAATGACGGCTTTAGTGAAGAGAAGGGAATGGATGTGATTGGTGCATGTGTGTATATATAATTTTCATTGATGACTTATTTTTACACCAATCATTTCCTTTTAACTTCCTCCCTCAAAATACCATCCCCACCCAAATCTTCCCTCCCCACAAAACAGGTGAAAACAGTAAAAACAGCAAAACAGGTGAGTAAACTGATATGGCAACCACATCTGCAGTTTGTACCATTCTGAATTTGTAGTCCCTGCAAAGTACTAGGGATATAAATACAAAAGCTAGCAGATCCCTGCACTCAAATTATTTACCTTCTAATATTAGGAGGGTGCAAGGTAAGGTCTGCTTGTCTGAAGGGCAAAGCAAAGGGTGGATAGCAAAGAGAAGGCATGACTGTTGTTTTAAGATGTCAAAGGTGGTCACACAGAAGAGGTATCAGACTCATTTTATGTAGTACCAGAAAACAGAGCTGGATGCGATAGGGGCAAACAGTGGAGGGTCAGAGATCACAGAGGTGGAAAGAAACGTTTCTCAACAACTATATCATTTAAAAGTGTAAATGACTGTCTCAATAAAAATAGCTAGCATTTATAGGGTTCTGGCATTTTCTATGGCTAAGAATACTTCCCCTCCTCTGCTCTGCCTGGCTGCCCTTGGCTTCCTTTAAGTCTCAACTAAAACCTCACCTCCTACAGGAAGCCCTCCTTAACCTCTCCTAATTCCAGTGCCTTCCCTCAGTTCATCAGGTCCTACTTTTCCAATAAGTAGCTTGCTTTGTAATGTATTTGTTTGCATGTAGTCTTTCCCATTAGATTTTAAGTTCCTCGAGGGCAGGAATTGTCTTCAGCCACTCTCTGTATCCCTAGCGCTTAGTACGTCCAGGTGCACAGCAGGCACTTAGTAAATGCTTAATGGGCAGCCGGCCTAAAGCAGCTAGATGGTGAAGTGCACAGAGTGCCGGGGCCTGGAGTCAGTCCAAATCTGGCCTCTTACTAGCTGTGTGACCCTGGGCAAGTCGCTTAACCCTACTGGCCTCAGTTTCCTCATATGTAAAATAAAGTGTTGATAGAAATGGTAAGCTCCTCCAATAAGCGCAAAGAAAACCACAAAGGGGATCACGAAGAGTCGGACATTACTCCACAACAAAGGCTTAACGACTGACTCCTATCTATATATATCGCTTTTGCAAAGCGCTTTAGAAATATTTCACTTTATCCTCGCAATAATTCTTGAAGGTCGGTGTATCTTCCCCATTGCAGAGAGGTAGACTAAGGCAGGGGAAGCTAATGACTCGCCCAGGGTCCAACAGTGAGGGACAAGCGTGGAGCACCGCTCTCAGCGCCCCCTAGCGGCCGCCCATCACGCTACCGATGCCAGGGAGCGCGCCGCACTACTCGTCTGGGATGCTGTCAAAAGGTTCCTGCTCGGGCAGAGGTGGGATTCGCCAGCATCTGAGGTACCTTCCAACACAAAGATTCCGTGCAGCCCGCTCCCCCACAGCAACTGTGCAGGCTGGCGGGGAGAAACAGTCGAGTTGGGGGAAAGACCTGGGTTCAAATTCCGCCCCAGGGAAAGAGCTCGTTGTGACGCCTCGACAAGCTCCGGCCCCTGGTTTAACAGGGCCTCCCTCAGGACCCGCCCGCTCCCCGCCCGCTTCAGGGCTGACGCTTGGGGCAGCTTTCTCTCTCCCGGCCCGGTTCACCCGAAAGCTAAAGCGAATTTACCTCAGAGTAGGGCGCCGAAGCCTGTAGCTAGACGCTGCCGCCCGGACCGCCGCGCTCTTGTGGTCACGGCGCATGCGCCTCCTTCTGGGCCCGAGAGGGACGCAAGGACGCCGGGACGAGAGGCGACAAGCGCCGTAGCGTGGGAGGGGTCGGGGGGGGGGAAGGGAAAGGTCACGGGATTGGGGCGCGTGGCGTACAATAAAGCGGCCGGCGCCATGACTCGTCGCTGACGCGTTACGTTCGCGCCGACGTCTGCGCGCTGGGGCGGAAGATGGCGGTCCGGTGGGCGGTTGACTGTTGATGCGCGGCAGAGGCGCCGCCGAGTGGGTCGCGCGGGAGGCGCCTCAGGCTCGCGGCTGGCCTTCCGGCCGCCTCCCCGCACTCCCCCGTCGGCCGGGGCCGGTGCAGCCGCCGGCGCCGCCGCCACCATGTCCCTGCTGCAGTCGGCGCTGGACTTCCTGGCCGGTCCGGGGTCCCTGGGCGGGGCAGCCAGCCGTGACCACACAGACTTCGTGGGGCAGACCGTGGAGCTGGGCGACCTGAGGCTGCGGATCAAGCGGGTCATCGCCGAGGGTGAGGGCCCCGCGGGGGAGTCAAGCAGGCAGGCACCTGCAGCTGGAAGGAAGGGCGCTTGGCCCGGGACGGAGGGCTGGTCACGTCTGGGAGGGGGGCAGCCGGGGGACGAAGGCGGGTCGCATCTAGAGGTGAGAATCCAAGAACAAGCCACATTTGGAGGGGACAGGTCATATCTGGGGGGTTTCAGGGGGGGAAGGCGGGCACCTCTGGAGGTGAGAATCCAAGAACAAGCCACATCTGGAGGGGACAGGCCATATCTGGGGGGATGGTGGGCCACGTGTGGAGGTGAGGATCCAAGAACAAGCCACATCTGGAGGTGAGAGGCAGAGGAGGAGGACATGCCACATCTGGGGGGGACTCTGGAGAGGGAAAGCCAAGGGGGAGAACTGATCATTTGTGAAAGAGAGAACTGGGGGAAAATAAGATCACTTGTGGGGGGGGAGTTGAGGTAGAGCATTTGTGGAGGAGGGAAGCTGAGGCAGGTTAGGTTACATCTCCAAGAGGAGAATAGATCACATCTGGAGTGGAAGCTGGGAGAATACAGGTCATATGGGTGGCAACTGAGGGGAGCACAGGTCATATCTGGAGACAAGGAGTCCTGGGAGACTTGGCTGATTATCTTTGGGGGAGAGAGATACCTAAGCAGGTCCCCGTTGTATGTGAAAAGGAGAGGTGGGGAGCTGGAGTTTGGGATTGATGAAGTCTTAGTCTTTGGCCAAGAAAAGGGGAAAAGTGGGAAAGAAGCAGGAAGTATCCTGTTTGGTATTGTATTTTCTAAAGTAACATGAACTTTTGAGAACAGGGATTGGATTTTTTTGGTGGGGCAATCTGGGTTAAGTAATTTGCCCAGGGTTACAGAGCTAGTAAGTTTCAAGTGTCCGAGGTCAGATTTGAATTCAGATTGTCCTAACTCCAGGGCCAGTGTTGTATCCATTGCTCCACTTAGCTGACCCCAGGGACTGGATCTTTGGGCAAGTCACTTAACCCTGTTTGCCTCAGTTCCTTATCTGTAAAATGAACTGTATTTTCAGGTTCAGTTCTGTTCCACACAGTATGCCTGACTAATTAGGGGATTTGATTAATGCTGAGAATAATGATGTCTTGAATTGAAATTTCAATGGGAGATTCAGGGAGCTTCTTTTATTATTGATTTGGTGATATTAGGAAGATTACACTGTCCTAAATGTTATGCCTTGAAGGGTTGTTGCCACAAAGATCAAATACTCCATGTTTAGAAGCTTTTGAGATGTCTTTTGTGACATAGGGCACAGTTATTTGTTTTTCTATGTTTCTATGTTGAGTCACAGGCAGTAAAGTGAATACTAGACTAGAACTGTACAGAACTAGATTGTTATAGCTATACTAAATGTTCTCCAATCTAGTCATAAAAGTTTGTAAACTTGTATTCTGAAAGATACTTTTCAAATGATACTTGGTCATCTACTCTGCATTCTTTATTTCCCTATCATTTCCCTATCACTAACTATGAATTAGCCTCCTTTTAAGAACAATATGATTTCATACATTTTGGACATTGTTTTTATGTTTTTTAAACCTTGCAACGTGTCAATGTTGGTGTCATTTTCATTAGCTGAGAAGTTTCTGTGACATTGAACTCCTGGGGAGTGAATGCATTTGGACTGGAAGCACAGCACTAGCATGGAGAATTAATAGCACTGGAAAAAAGGTCAGGGAACTCTTGCAAGCTTACAATATAATTAGGTAGGACTCTGGCCTTTGTCTCACCTATAATCTCAAAGCAGTTATGAGAAATGTGCAAACAAATGGCCCCATTTGCTACTCTTGTGTTTGATTGGGGGTGGAGGATGGGGAAGGGTACGGTTGCCTGTTTAATCTGTTCTAGACATTGTAATAGGCATTTTTAGAGGAATGATGGGGTAAGATTCTGGCCAGGAAGTACCTACATTAATTCCTTCCTGTAGAGCTTCTAGAAGGAAAAAATTTTTAGTTCCTGGAAAGTAACTTGATGATTTAGTATTTTTAAGGTAGATCTGATCTCAGAGCTATCTTAGCTCTTAAGTTGATGTTGAGAGCTCTCCAGGTATATTAATTCAAGATACTCATCAGAAACCTTGCTGTTATATGTAAGACTCATTTGAAGTTGTGAGATATTCATTCAGCAAACATTAAGTGCAGCAGGGGCACAAAGACAAAAATGAAACATTCCTTCAGAGAGCTTACATTCTGTTGTGGGGAAACAACGTGTATGCAGAACATTGCAAAATAATTATAAAGTAAGATAAAAATTTCGAGAAGACACTTGCAACTCGGAGGAATCAGTATGGTGAGAAGGAGCAGCTGGAGTTGGGAGGGCAAGAGAAATACCAGGTTGGAGTCATAAAGTGGGTAATGCTAGGTCATTTATTCATTTGACAAGTGTTACTAAGTGCCTGCTCTGGGTCTTTCTGTCACTGGCTGTCCTCCATGCCTGGAATTTGCACCTTCCTTATCTCTGCCTCCTGGCTTCCTTCAAGTCTGAGCTAAAATCCCTTCTTCTGTAAGAAGCTTTTCTCAGCCTGTCTAAATGCTAGTGCACTCCCTCTAATATTATCTCCATTTTATCTTGTATGTATATGGTTTGTACATAGTTGTGTACATGTTGTCTTTCCCATTAAATTGTTAGATCCTTACACAGATTATTTTTGCTTTTCCTTGTTTTCTCAGTTCCTAGCACAGTGCATGGTACGTTATTGTTCAGTCATTCAGTCTTGTCCAGTTCTTTCTGACCTGGGGACCATAGCATGCCAGTCCTGTCCATAGTGGTTTTCTTGGCAAAGGTACTGGAGTGGTTTGCCATTTCCTTCTGTAGTAGATTAAGTCTACAGAGGCTAAGTGACTTGCCCAAGGTCACATAGCTAGTAAGTGTCTGAGGCTGGATTTGAACTCAGATCTTCCTGACTACTGGCCCAGCTCTGTCCACTGAGGCATTTAGCTACCTTCAACTCTTCGTGGTACATAGGAGGTCCTTAACAAATAGTTTTGACTTGATTGGACTAAGTCACTAAGTGACTAAGAATAACGAGATGAAAAAAACGAATGCTGAGCTTTCATCCTGTACGTAGTGTTGAGGCATTCCAGGTGAGGGGTGTGTGTGTGTGTGTGAGTGGGCAGTAGTGACTTGGTCAAGGTAGCTTGAGGAAGATTAATTTGGTGACAGTGTACAGGACTGATAGGAGAGGAGAGCTTGTGAATGTAGGACAACCAGTTACAATGTTATTGCAAGGAACTCTTAAGGCACTGTTAAGGATTAAGATGATGGCAGTGAGAAGGGAAAGGAAGGGATATATGTAGATTTTTTTTTTTCAGTGAGGCAGTTGGGGTTAAGTGACTTGCCCAGAGTCACACAGCTGGGAAGTATTATGTGTCTGAGGCTGGATTTGAACTCAGGTCCTCTTGAATCCAGGGCCGGTGCTCTATCCACTGCACCACCTAGCTGCCCCAGGAGATTTTTCTAAGGAAGAAATTACAGAATTTAGAACTTGAAGGGGTGGGGACAGATAAAAATGCGAAATCAAATATTATTCTCAGATTCAGTTTTTGATGGCTACATGAATGATGCACCACTAACAGAAACAGAGAAGTCAGGAGGAAGAGTTGGTTTGAGAAAGATGATAAACTTAGCTTTGGATATTTGGGAAAATATCTAAATGGCTCTGGAAATAAAGGACTGGAATTTAGGAAAGAGGCTACTTTTGGAGACAGATTTGGAATTCATTAGATTGTAAGCTCCTTGAGGGCAAGAATAATATCTTATTCATCATTCGTCATTCACAAACTGTGGGCCTTACTACAAAGCACTTGCTTATCATTGAATTGCATTTGCTTAGATGTGAGGGATAAAGCCAGTGGGAATGGTTGAGATCTTTGCTCCTCTCATGCCCATCTCCAAAAGTACCCCTTATTGGGTTCCCTCCTTAGTAGCCCAAATGTAACAACTCTAGCTGGCACAGAAAAGTTCCCAATTGGGTGAAGGAATTACAGGTCCCAGTTTTTAAGTCCCAGTCCCTGTCCTGCCTATCAGCGTGGCCTTGGGCAAGTCATTTCATCTCCCTGGGCCTCACTTTCCTTATCTGTAAAACAAAGTTGGAGTTGATGGATTCTGAGGTCTCTTCCATCTCTAAATCTATGATTTTATGGTAATGATCCAAAATGGGGATGAGCCACAAGCAGAAAAAACTGGACTGTGCAACATTCTATGATAAATGTTGAGAGTTGTGAAATAGAGCAGGATGTGATATCTGAATGGCAAGTTTGTTATTGACGGGGGAGGAAGGGAGAAAGATAGGCAGGGAAGGCTTCATGGGGAAAGTAGCATTTGAGCTGGGCTTTAAAAGCTAGTTTGGGAAGTCTTTTGACAGAGAAGAGAAAGGATATTCTAGCCATAGATGAAGAGAGTATGAGTAAAGGCATGGAGGCTGGAAAATGCAGGAGTGTTCAGGAGACTGAGTAGCCAGTTTGGCTAAAATCAAGAATAATGTGTAGAGTGGAGTAATATGAGATAAGGCAGGGAAGGTTAGTTGTGGTGTAAGATTTTGCCTTGAATAAATGGCAAAAACTTGATAGGCTATTGGAAATCCCTGAAGAGCTTTGAGCAGAGGAATGACTTGACTAGATCTGTGCAAATGAGATATTATAGCAGCAGTATGAAGGATGCATTGAGGATTGGGGGGGGGTGTATATGTGTGTGTGTGTGTGTGTGTGTGTGTGTGTGTGTGTGTGTGTGCGCGCGCGCGTGTGTGTGTGCAAGTGAAGGTTAGGAACATTGATTAGGTGTAGTTGGGTAGTAAAAAGGTCTGGACTATAGTAGTGATAATGGGAATAGATTGGAAAGGACAGATGTGGGAGATGAAGCAAAGGTGAAATAGATAGGACGTAATAACTGGAATAGGGATGAATAAAGATCAAGTTTATGAACATGGGAAGTTGGGTAAAAAGTCTTACTATATAAAAAATGATGAAGTTAGAAGGAGGAACAG